GTAGGCATATCCTCAGTGAGTCATCCAGCTCTCTCATCAGGCTGATAAGGACAAACCATCAATCTTTGGGCTTCAYCCTCTGTCCTGGGATGTCCTGCAGTCATCCCAGGAAAAAGGGATACATATATCAACTACACATATCAGGACTGCACATCAGGATATCCCCGAGTTTATTTTCTTCTTAGTAACTGACRCAGTGCTGTGTTTTGGATCCAGTGTGAGAATGATGTTGATGACAAACATGTTTTAGTTGTTCTCAGTAGTGCTTCCCCTAAGTCAAGGACTTTTCAGTTTGCCATGCTCTGYCAGCAAGCAGGAGCACGGGGAGCTGGGAGGGAGCATGGTCAGGACAGCTGATCTGGACTAGCAATAGGACTGTTCCATACTGCAGAGCATCATGCCTGGTGCATAAATGGAGTARTTGGCAGAAAGCAAGGGGATTTCTGGGGGAATGGGGTGGGCATTGGTCAACAGATGGTGAGAGATTATATTGTGCATCACTTGTCTTTTGTGTTTGGCTTTTTTCATTACTATTATTACTATTATTGTTGTTGTTGTTATTATTATTATTATTATTATTATTACATTGTTGTATTTTATTATTATATTTTACTCTTGAGCTCTGCACCAGGGTGAGATGTGTGAGCTGCAGTGACCTTTGCTGGCACCAAGGTGGGGAGAATGCATTTCAAGTTAAGGACAAGTGGAGTGCAATCCAGGATGGCTGATATGGGGACATGTCAGCCCTTCTTGTCACCTGCTCCTTCTCTTCCAGATTCATGGTCCTTCCACCCCACCAACTGAGGGTTGGCAAAGTGGTATTTTTAGACAGAGAGAAGCCCTTTGGCCATGATTTCTCCCAGGCCAGAGAAGGTCCAGAGCAGATGAAAGTGTGCTACAGCACTGCCATGAACAGTTTCTTTTGAAGCTGTGAAGAGATCTAGCACAGAGAAGATGCTGCAGCACARAAGGAAGATGCCCTGGAGACATCCTTTCACCCTGAATGGTGTAAGTTCCTCCTTCCTTTGCTGCTGGCAGAGGYTTCCTGGTGACATAACCCAACAATGGAGGGTGCGGGGGGAGAGAAATCAAGTTGGGAACAATCAAGTCATAAGAACTCAAGGCTACCTTTACAGCCAGATACTTGAAAGCCAGCTCAGCATCACAAGCCAGCAAATCCATTTGTGTGTGCAGAACAAATGAATGGGCAGCAGAGTCTAGAATTAGTAATTTGCTAAAAGAATATCGGCTGAGTGAAGTGTATTTCAAGGGAAGCAAGCTCTGAAAGCCCCTGACAGTCTGGTCTAGTGTTCCCCTGCCATGCAGACAGACCTGTGCTGGAGAGCAGGAGGAGTGTGATGATGGGGACATATTTCTCCAGTGGGCTCCTTCAACTCAGCCCTGCTGTGCCCACCCCTCTGAACTGAGTTTCCTGTGGCCAAGCCATAGACTCAAGAAACATGGCCCTACATAAAGCCCTCCCTGGAGAAGATCTTACTAGCCACCACTACTAGGCCTATAACAAGAAACAGCCTTTGAAGAAGGGAGAAAAACCCACCCCAAGAAGCCAGACAGACTGGCTGCATGTAACACCAGCCAGCCAAGACACGGGCACACCGACACTTGGAGCAACTTGAGAGCAATCCCACGCCAGTGCCAGAAGCCTTCCTTCTGCTTCAAACAGCCTTAGGCTGGCAGGGAGCCTCCAGAACCTGACCTCACTGCTGAGGGGATCTGCCCCCCACAGCCTTGGGTGGCCCCCAAACCACTTYCCTCCAGCAGGACAAGGTGCTGAAAGACATGCTGTGACAAGAGTGTGACTTCCCTAAGCAGTGGCGCAGGACAGYTTCATTGGCTCAGGTTTCTTAGGCTGTTTGTGCTTGTTTGAGCCTGCTGGGCTCTCCCATGGGCTGAGCTCTCTCCAGCTGCTTGCCTGAGCAGCACTGCACTCTGCTCCTGTAGCCCTCCCTGGAAAGCACCCCCACCACCAGCGGGGCACCCACTGTGCCCCAGGAGAGATGGCAAGGAGCATCCTCCTCCATGCTGGAGCCTCTCTGCCAGACACAACAGACTCTGTGGCTATGGAGTACCCACAGCTGGAGTAGCAGGGAGATCCCAGGAGCAGGAGGAGCACCCACCAAGGCCGACTCACTCCCTGGGGTGATGAGGCTGTCAGAGCAATGAGGAAAGCACCCGTGAATGCCTCTGTTGTGCTCACCCAGCTGTTCCCATGGCCAGCTGTGTAGAGAAGACTGTGGGCAGCAAGCATCCTTTGTCAGTGCCGGCATCCCAGCAGACCTCTTTAGCACGGATTGCTAAAGGGGGCAAAATTCTTAAAGTTACTTGCTTAGGGCTCTTGAATCCACTCCCTGACACTCAGCAGGTGGAGCGGAGGGACAGTCTCCATTACATTCCTTCCCTGTTCATTGCCATCCCACCAGTCATTCTGGTGGTCCAGGTGCCCCAGGGGCTGTGGTGTGTGTCACACAGAGATGTCTGCTCATCACCTCTGGCAACGCCCCACAAGCTGGTGGCACCAGAGTCACCTCTCTGCAGGCGTCCACCCAAACTGGTCTGACAGAAACCACAGGCTGCCCACAGCATGGAACCACTGCCATGAAGAGGACACAAGGGCCAGGTACCAGTTGGCTCCCTGGCATGGGACAGCACAGGGGAAAGTGTGGTCCTTGTCCCTCATGGACCCTGAAGTATTTGATCATTGAAGTATTTGAGTCASGACTTCCAAAACCAGGCAGCTTCAGCCTAGAGATTGAGAACAGAGCAGATTTCAGCAGACATTTTCCATCCTCCCACCTCCCTGACTTGCTCCCTAGAAAACACAGAGCCATCCGAGTCTGTGGAAGGGCTCCCTGGCACATACTCCCGGCACTCCCAGGGTAGGGAGCGGATTTGTGGGTCTACTGTGTGCTCCTTCCTGCCTCTCACCAGTGTTTTCGCGGGCTGGGCACGGCACAGCTCCCACGTGTGATGCCCTGCCTGCTGTCTCTGCGTGCCACAGCACGCTCTGCCCACAAGCCATGGCAGCGCTGCTGAAAATCCTCCCGGCAAGGAACTGCACGTATCAACTCCCGGTTTAGTCACTTCAAAACAATCTGGTTCGTAAGAGTGAGAGTAGGGAGGAAGACTGTACCCCGGGCAGAGATTGCACATGRAAATACCAATGAGATGACACTGTTCTCTGACAAGCATTGGAACAACTGGAGGAATAATAAAACACTGCAGTTTCCATCCACACAACTGTATCCCACGGACAAAGTAAAGGCAGGGATCTTACTGGAAGTCACATCTGATTAGTATCTGTCTGGTCTGGATGCGTTCTGCTGCCGAGGAGAGACGGGCTGAACCCTGCCCACTGAAAACAAAGGAAAATGCACGAAGCAGAGTGCAGAAGGGGCAGTTGCTGAGYCCGGGTGGGCAGCCCTGCTCTGGCATCAAGGAGCCACCTGTGCCCACCCCCTSTTCCCCCTGCCCAGGACGTGCTCTGGGTAAGAGGTGTGTGCTGCTGCTCTCCTAGGGAAAAAACTGATCGAAAGAACAATGACTCAGTCAAGTTCTTGTGTGTTGGGATGTCCAACAAAGGCAATTGTCAGATGCACCCTGAAGAACAGCCAATCTCTTATGCTGTTATGGGGCAAGTGGGGTATGGAGGTAGAAATCTCATCTGGTCAGCTGCAGGAGCTGGCTGGTTAGAAAACTCTTCTCTAACTGAATGGAAGCCAAAATATTCTGCAAAGCCTTGTTTCCAGCCACATTTTTTTGGATTAGAAGCCAGAAAACCCCAGCACATCAAAAAAGGAAAACACTGGAAAACAAAACAGAAGATGGCTTTTGAGGTTTTCCTTTGCTTTGGGGTGTTCAGAGGGAGAAGGGAAGCTTTTGCTCTCTGACAGTTGGGTTGGGGTGGAGTGTCTGGAAAGCACATATTTTTTAATTCACATGCTCAGAAAAAGACAAAAAAATTCTGCTTAATCCCCAGGTAAGGGGAGCTGGTGTCATTGYCAGGAAGGAAAACGTGGCAAAATTCAAGAGAGACACATGCATGAAAAACAGGCAATTTGAACAAACCAGAAAAGCTAAAATGCTATCACATTCTGTTTTGATGGCTTGAGAAGTTGCTTCCTTCSTCTCTTTTTCGTATTATTTTTTCCATTCTGTCTCCAGTGTTAAAGGGACAACATTTGGGCCAGGATGGGCATGTGTGTCCAATGCCCCCCCTGCATAGTGACTTCAGACAACCTCTTGCTGTGGAGCAATATGGGTGACATTCGAGCCTCTGAGGCGGGGTTCAGAGGAGGGGGTGCTGAATGCAGGCTGCAGCTGCCAGCTCCTCCCTGCAATGCCACAGCATTATGCACAAATGTCAAAGGCACATCACAACAGCKGTACTCCTCCTCAGCAGGGAAGAAGCCTCTGTGATGAGCCTGAATGTACCCTGCATTTAGTTTGTGTTTAAAGGCATCCTCTGGGGACAGGACCTCTTCATATCAGGTGAGGCATAAATTCCAGCAGTACTTKGAGCCTCTCCCAGGAGGAGAAATGGGGCCTAAAAGATTTCAGAAAAGGTCAGAAAAGCACTAGCATGTGCCAGCCAGRTGTGTGACATGACTTTCACGCTGTCACTGCAGGATTCCCAGCACCTCTGAAGCCATTTCAATGGGGTGTCTTGGCCTGAAACACGTCACTGCCAGTGCTCCCTGTGCAAGTCTGGGCTGGGTTCACAGGCTAAGAGAAAAGGGTTTTTCCACATTAAAGACTTTCTCTATGTTGAGAGTAATAAACAAGGGAAGAGAGGAGCCCATCCTGTTCCTGTGGGCCAGGTTACTCACATTTTGCAATGCTTGGGCCACATGCATGGAAGATAAAAAAAAAAAAAAAAAGACAGCATACAAACATAGGAAAATCTTTCTGAGACAGAATATTTTCCCATCTATCCTGTCACCAAGGCTGGCCAAGAGCAGATGCCACAGCAAAGCATAGACATGGGGCAGATGAGTAGCAATACCCCTGAGAGCTCCCCCAAGATCATGTCACTATGCAGTTTGGGACCTCTKCCCAGACTTTCCCACACTGGGGTTGAAATCCATGGCTAAGCCCTGCTGTAGGAGTCTGCTCCAGCCTCCTTGAATGYACCCTGATGCCCCCAGCCACAGGCACTGGAGCCATCCCATCGGACACATCGCCCAATCTGCTTGTCCGCACCCATTGCTACCCGTGCTCCTGTTGCTTAGCACCAGTGATAAACAGGGCATATTCCTTTGGCCAGGTGCCTGCCCAAGGCATGCAGGATCAAGTCTTCCCCCAAAACCTTCCTCTGGCAGCCACTGAACAGCACCATTTGGTTTATCAGGCAGTGAAACTATCCCCTGATCTTGCTTGATCAATGTCATCCTGCTTGGAAAACTGGCACAGGTCTGCCTGTCCTTTGGCACAGATCTCTTTGCAATCCCCTTGCCTTGGCCCATGTTTTCCCCAACATTACAAAACCTCTTCAGGACAGTTTTGGCTCACTGCTAAACATATGGCAGGTTCCTTGCCTGGGTTTGTCCAGTCACTTCTTCCCAGGGTCAGGGCTCCCAGCCTCTGGCTCCAGCCAGCTCCACAGCTTTTTGCATTTTGTGCCAGTTTGAGTTTTGCTCTGGCAGATAATCTCAGCCATTGAAAGCCATACTCAATTTTTCATGAGCCTTTTCTTCAGCCTCTCTGATTTTCCAGCATCCCCTTCCAGCTGTCTACAGAGAAAAATCAGCCCCTCCCTGCTGCRCCCCACCCCACAAGATGCCTTTTTTTAAGCAGTTTTCTAACGCTTCCAGATAACCCCCCCCCCCTGGGAACTGCAGGCTCCTGGGCACTTTAATCGAGGAGAGGTCTTTGGTAGAAGATCCCCAGCCAGGCTATGTCTCTGAGGGCACTTGGGCTGCAGCAGCAGGAGAGATCCAGCACCCAGTCCTGCCCYGATACCCAGCGTGGCGGGATCGCACGGCTGATTGAAATGACAGCAGACTCAGGAATGTTAAGTCTGGACACATCATTTGCGAGATGCCAAAGCGGGATGAGAAGCCAGCCCTGCACAGCAGCGAGCGCTGCCAGGCTCCATCACCCCGGAGCGCGGTTCCTTGCAGCGGGGGAGCGGAGCAGCCCGGCCGGGAGGGACAGGCGGGCTCGGCTGCGGCTCGGCTCAACGAAGCGCGGTTTCCGCCGCACCCCGCCTGCACCCTTCCTGTACCCCCGCAGGAAGCAGCCCCGGCAGCCCCGTCCGTGGGGCCCGAGCGTGGCAGAAGGGACGGGACGGGACGGGACGGGATAGCTGCCGGGCCACCGGGAGCCCGCGGCGCTCTCGCACAGCCCGCGCTGAGCGCTGCCAAGGGCAGCGGGTGCCAAACCTGAATTACCAGCCCGGAGAGTGGCTGTGCATCCCGGCAGCTCCTGTGATTTGCGGCAGGTTTTTCAGGTCCCCGCCTGTCACACGCACACGCAGATATTTAAGCAGTCACCCGAGGACCTGCGGGGTTCTTGTTTTACACACTTCGGGTTCCTTGCCAGCTGCAGGTAAGCACAGGCTTTGAGCTGGGGCTGCTGGGGTGGGTTTGCAGCTGGGGATCGGGGATGSAGGGAGGAGCAGCCCTGTGAGTGCTGACGCTGAGGAGGTCGGAGCTGCACCCAGCAGGGCAGGAAGCCTCATTGCCGGGGCAGAAGGGCACACAGGAGGAGAGACCCCATGCAGGAGTCCTGCTTCTGCTGCAGCAGCTGCTGTGCTCCTGTTTGCTTTGCTTCCATCTGATATTATCTTCTAAAAGGCTGGACGGGTGGTTTACAGGATGCATGACAGGTGTTTTTTCCTTATTTACGGCAGGGCCCGGTTTATTTTTAAAGGCTCTGTCCCACCTTATCCTGTGCGCCATGCGGGCCGATGTTATCCACAGCCACCCCACAGCAGGAGGCCAAGCAAAGCTCAGGACAGGACATGGCTCAGAACAGAGTAAGGGAGGGAAAGAGGACTCGTTTGCATTGAGAACTGCTGTTTGGATCCCTGCAGTGGCAGGAAATAGCTGCAGGCTAAAACCAGATGCAGATGCCTCCAGTCACATCCCAGCCCCGACAGTGGGAGCACTGGGAAAGGGGTCAAGAAGCCCAGCAGAGGCTGTGAGGCCCCATCAGCTTGGCAGGAGCTACTGCTTGGAGAGATTTCTAGGGGCTTTGGGTGCAGTAAATCATTAGAAAGCTGTGCAGCCAGCCAGCTATTGTGACTACTWTTCAAAAAAGCAAAGCTGAGCAAACAGAGATCATGTCTTTTCTGGAAAAGTGGCAGGAGAGTAAATGCTGACTGCACTAGCAGTGCTGGGCGAGCATGCTGGGAGACAGAGAGATGTCCTCTCCCGTTTCAGGCCAGAGCTAGGAGTCCTGCTAGTAACCCCAGGGGATCTCTGGGGAGCTGGGCAGAGTACTATATATATATATAAGACTTCCTCTTGCTGCAACTTGTGTCCACCAGTCATTACCTTTTGTCTCCAAAATGAGCCTGGAGGTGCATTTTAATGCCCTATCAGCCACCCTAGGAGCACCAGGTGCTGTCATGTATACAGGAATGCTGGCTGGAGCCACCCACAGCCCAGGCACCCGCTGAACCACTTGCAAGTTTCTGCTCACACATTGCCCCACCTAAAACCAAGGCAGTCAGAGCCAAGCATGAATTCCCCAGGGGTCTTTGGCTTGACGCTTAGGACAGAGCAGGTGTGGTGATTTCACTGTGACAGCGCATCTGGCATTGTCATTTTTGCCTGGGTGAGTAAACCCCAGACATGGGGCTCTCAGGGGACTGTTCACAGAGCTGAATGATAGTCCCACAGCCTTTCTGAATGGTTAACATGCCTTGCACTGAAAAAGCCTTTTTTTTCAAAGCTGTCAAAAATTTAGGCAGGAAAAAGCAATGAGCAGTGGTGCTTTTCAGCAGCTGTGAGTCTCCAAACAGCTGAGTCTCCATATTTCTACCAGGCTTAAAGAAATGTTAATGAGACAGTCACCTTTCCTATACAGAGGAGAGCTCCTGGGCAGCCCCAAGGCCAGCCTGCAGTCCTGGGTTTAAACATAGCTTCATTTAGATAGTAGGTAGGTGAGTAGTAGTCCAAATAGGGCCAGTCAGGGCATTTAGGCACTCCTGGTGCCCTCAAGTCTTGACRCATACCCCCAGTTTTTAGCACCCAAGAGGTGCCAAGTGCTGGAGGCCATATGCTGCACAGGGGCCACGTGGCTCCTGAATGCCTCCAGGACCTAGTGGAGTGATGTGGGGAAAGCCCTGCAAAGCCCTCTAGGAGTCCCAGGGTTTTTCCTTTTCCTGAAACCCATCTCACAACCTTGAGAGGTAAAAACTGTTCTCCTTCCAGAGCAGGGATAGAGGGGACACACAAAAAAAAAGCCATCAGGCATCACATCCTGCATGCTGGGGCACCCTGAGCTGCCAGCAGGTAGCAAATATTGTGTCCTATGGGGAAATGCCTCAGGAGCCTGGAGATAATCAGAAGCAGAAATAGCTGTGTAGGTGAAACATGAAAGTTGAAGMGTGTGTTCCCTATGTAAATCCATGCACACACATCAATGGACCTTAATGTGGCAGGCTGCAGTGATTTATGAGCTGCCAAGGCATGTTGCTGCTGGTGGCCYAGGCTAGGTGCATAATCTGGAGGTGATGAGGAACCCTGTGTGGCTGGGTTTTCTGTGAGAAGGGCAGGTGGCTCAGTGGTGTGCTGGGCAAGGAGGAGAGGCAGGACTTGGCAACTTGTGGGTTGAGCTTGGCCTCATCTGCATTTTGACCTCATGGAGAGCCTGGCAGCTACAGTGCTGGAGAGCAGCACTTCAAGTCCAGGGGACCTCCTTCTACCCCTGCATCTTTTCCAGAGGTCTCCCTGCATCTCTTTTCCAGTTGCCTAAGGTAGGTGAGCAGCATTCCACAGACTCCTACTACCTCACGTGCATGAGGGATTGAATCATGTCTATCTACCCGTTTCCTATATGGATGCTTCTGAACTGAGCCGACCCCAGGAAAACTCGGGSAGCTGCAACACACTGCAGACAAGGGCTTGCAGTACCTGGGGTTAAAGATGGCTTTCCCCAGTCCACCCAGGGCCGGTGGGTGACACTGCCCACCAGCACTCCGTGGCGCTCCGAGGTGCTCCAGTGTTACGCAACCACTGTGTTACAATCCGTATTTGCCAAGTGACTCAAGYAGAGTGGGCTGTTTCACAACCAGCCCTGGTCTATTTATAAGCCCCTACTCAAAYGCCAAAAGGATTATTTTATTAGTCAAAGCACTTTGTGCAGACGAGGCTCAGGGGGATCTTTGCTTTATGAGGTAAAGTTCAAAGMAGAGGACCTCTCCAGCCTCTCACTRAGCCTGCCTCTTTGCAAGCTGCAAGACAGTTTGGAAGCTGAGCTCCATCSTAGCAGTTCTGTCAGCAAGTGAAATACCCTAGGGTACCTTCAGACTTGGTTACCAGTCAACCAAGGAATCAGCTGGGTTTAAACCTATGSAGTAGGAGTGCAGCATGATGGATGCTCCGGGGATATATCCCAGAGCCAAAGGGAAGGAGAAGCTGGACTGCAATGTGGAGGCAAGGCAGGTCTGCAGCAGATGGCCCACAGGAGTCCCTAGGTGTACCAAGGGCTCCTGGTGGCACTGGAGAGCCAGCAACACCAACCTGACAGAGATGGGCCAGGCAGCTGGGACAGCAGGAGAGCAGATCAAGAAAGGCCACATTTTTGCAACCAGCTCCTCCCCTGCCAGTACCCCACCCTGGTTTTGGAAACACCACAGTGATTCAGCATCAAGGGACTTGTGCATGTTGTGTGGGGGCAGTGCCTTGTGGTTTAGTTGACTGAACTGGCAAACTCGACCCTCTGTCACACGGGAATGAACCTGGAGCCCGGCAGAAGAGAGGTGTGTGACTGACCCAAGATGCACTTATTTGTTTTGCTTGTGCTTTTGGGCCAAGTCTTCCAGAGATTATGCAAAGTACGGGACAAATGTAATTTGGGGAAAACACTGGGACAAATGTTACTCTGGAGGAAAACATGGGCTTCTTGCTTCTGCCGCTGCTGGGGGTGTCTAGCACTGACCACAGWCAGAGTCAGTGAGTGCTGGAGCAACAGACATGCACTGGGTACAGTCCTCTGAGGACTGACCCTTCACTTCTGCACCAAAAACCAGCCAACCAACCAGTTCAGTGATGCTCAGGAGCAATAGCACTGGCACTTTATGCCCATGTGTGGTAAYATTAAATACTACTTGGAACAATGCAGCTCATCTTCTCATAGCCAGCACTGTGTGACATCTGGCCACACTGCTGAGAGGACCAGGACACAGATCTGGAGGGGAAATACAGTAATTGCCGGGTCTAAGACTATGCTCCCAGAAGATCTTGTATTCTCTATTTTGTTATTCCTTTGCAAACTTGCCTGATCACTGGAGGCAGGGAAACAAAGAACAGCAACCCACTAGGCTAGATGCCAGATATTGTCCCTTCACCCAGAGGACAAATGTTTTTTAACTAATATCTTTAAATTAACCCCCTGAACATGCCCATTGCTGTGACATCACTCCTAAGTGACGCCCAGGCCTAAATACGGCTGTAAACAGGAATCGTTCCCATGGGAGTCACACTGGCTATAAATACAGCACCAGGGGAGTGCTGAGCAGCCTGCAGCTTCCTGCCAGCTGAGGATGGTGAGTGAGGCAGCTCCGCGCTGGGCACTGCTGGCATGTGGTGGCTGCACTGAGGAGCTGAGACAGGAGGTGCTGGGGGCTGGCGCTCCCAGCTGAGCTCCCTGGCATGTCTGCGAGAAGGGAGTYGTGCCCTGCCACAGGCAGAGGCCTCTGGGGAGGGGGGGCTGGTGGGAACAGGGATGGCAAATCTRGGGCTCAGCAAGTGTGGCCCCACTGGCCATTCCCAGCTTGAGCAATGACAGCGGCCCCTCTCCGCAGTGCCTGGCCCCATAGCCCTGCCCCAGGAGGAGATAGCCATGGAAAAGCCAGTGATTCCCACTGAGGAGCAGCTGGAGATCCTGGAGCACCACTTCTGCAAGGTGAACAAGCATCCTGACCCCACCACGCTGTGCCTCATCGCAGCTGAGACCGGGCTGTCCGAGGAGCAGACCCTGGTGAGTGTGTGCCCCTCATCCCTCCCATGGCACCAGCCCTGCTCCCCCTGCATGCCTCTGTGCCCCACACACTCCCCCCACATCTCCTGCCTGTCCTGTCCTGTTCTCTCTGTCACACACCTGCACCATGTGTCCCCCACACAGGCTTCCTAYAGCAGCCCCTGCCCCTCTCACGCCGCCCCCACACCGCCTGCACTCCTCTGTGTGCCCCGGGTGCTCCCTGCTCGCATTCCCTGCAAGCTGTGCACCCTGCACGCTCCTTACTGCACCCACAAGTCTCCTCTGCACCTCTGCAACCCCTGGCACACCCCTAACCCCACACCTCACCCACTGAGCTCTACTGCAACACAGCCCCTCCCTGTACCCCCACATCCTTTCTGCTCCGGAATATACAACCCATGCAGGCTGTTCTTCCAAACTATTTCTGATAGTCTTGGATGCACAAACTGGTTTTTAAGTTCTGAAGAAACTACAGTAATCTTCAAACAGATACAGGATAGATGCAATTCCTGCAGGATGTGCTGTAGGACATGCTYAAGCTGTGCACCTTCCCCTCAGTGTCCCCAAGCCCAGATGTCAGGCAAGTCTGTCAGCCTCTCCAGGAGACATGGAGGCCTCCAAATACCCCCCCATAGGGACAGCTGCCACTGGCYGGGAATTCCAGCCAGCCCCGCGCTCCATCTGGCTACCTGCAGGCTACCATGGGYGGCAGAAGCAAACGGCTTCTTCCCAGTTCCTTCAGGTGGCAGTGCAGCTCATTGTGATGCAGGTGTTTACTAGACCCACAGCAGCGTTTATGGGTATAGAAAAGAAATCCAGCCCACTGGGAAATTAGCAGCAGTTTGCAGAGAGCTGCCAAGCCTGGCTCTCCCACAGCAAAGCCAAAGGGATAGAGAAGGCGAGCAGGCGATGTCAGCATTTAGCCTGTCCCAGGGAAAGATGCTGGGACAGCATCCATTGCACTGACAGTCCTTGGCTGGAGTGGACTGTGCCTTGGTGACAGGCAAGTATCAATCACTGTTGTTTGAGGCAGCAAGGAGGCAGTAGCCCTAAAATACCTTTTTCTCCATAGAGATGGCACTGTTCTTTTTTTTTTTCCTACAGCAAGTTGTAAACAGGCCATATATGCCTAGGCCACCACAGTAGATGTCTTAAAATCTTCCCTGATAGCCATCTTTTTCCACTAATTTAGAATGCTCCCAGAGATCTGGAGATGAAGGTCATGTTAGGGACAGGATCAAGACTGAGGTGGTGAGCTGCAAAGGGCCTGCATTGCGCAGAACACAGAGAATCGTCGCTCCTGACATCTGGAGTGCTCTATGGGCTAGAAATAGCAGCCATTTTAATAAAAAATTCAGTAACAATGAGATGCAAAGAGGAGATGATGRTTTAGGACAGAAAGTGAAATTTTTGGGAGGAGGCCAGTGACTGGATGTGATCGAAAGCATTATGAGTGCAAGAGACACTTGTAGAGAGCACCGTGGTCGTATCATTACTGACCATAATAGCTTCAAAAATAGCYATGAACAAATATAGCAACAAAATGAGCTGCAACAAAAGGAATCACTGGCACACTGCCAAACAAAAGGCTGAGCTATGCTTCCGGCACATGAGTTATATCCCTTTTCTTACTTTTCTTCTTAGGTAGTGTKGCTTTAATCAGGTGCATTTTATCTAATATTTTTAATTGTGGCTGTGTTGAAGTGCTATCAGCAGCTCTTGGAGTGGRCTTGCAGCAGATAATTTACTATAGATGTAGTACAAAGTTACTAACATGGACATGCATATCACTTAAAGACTAAGACAATTTTTAAACAATATTTAAAATATATTTGTTCTTAAATTTGTTGAGAGCCACTGTGCTGTTCCTCTCATGCTTTCTGAAATAGGTGAGCTTCTGATTCCCGTCAGTTTTGGACCTGCAAGTGATTGTTTCACTGCTCCAGTCATTTAAACAGGMACCATCAGCTCCTTATCCAATCTCTTACTCTATTTGAAAGAAGAACCCGGACTCATAGCAATTAAAAAAGGACTCACCCTTGCTGTCAAGGTCTAAAGTGAGCATGACAAATGAATTTGAAAGAGGTGCACACATTATAGACCATTCAGCCAGGAGTGACTGTCCTGCTGCCTGTACTGCTTGGGGACAGCACCTTGCTACAAGGCAGCAGCACCACGAGGTGCTGGTCCCCTCACCTGGTCCCATGTGCTGACCACATCTGCACCTTTAGCAAAGTTATTCAGAGGGTTTTCTCTGCCTAGTGCACTCAATCTCTGTTTTGTCCTTCTCTCCAGAAATGGTTCAAGCAGCGCCTGGCAGAGTGGAGGAAGTCTGAAGGGCTGCCCTCAGAAAGYGGGTCTGTCAGGGACTAGAGGATGCTGCTCCAATTCCCTCACCTCTTATAAAGGATGGTGAAGTTCTTCAGAATGGGTTTCCTTGGGGTTCTTCTGTTGCAATAGGTTGTGCGATACAAAGTAATACTCTGCTATTTAATGTTTTATTTAACATGTACATAATCAGAAAAAAAACCCCATTTTATATATATATAAACAAGTGTGTGTATACGTTTGATGGCTGATAACCTGTCTAGTGATTCCAATCTATTAACAGCAGCTGCACAAGGAAAGGCCATTTAATACCCTTGTCCCAGGCTTGCCACATGTTCAAATATAGATGAAGAAATAAAGATTCCTTTTCCTTACAATCCCCAGAGRCAAAGTATGTGTGCTAGCTTTAAGGTACAAATGATCCAGAGAGTAGGGCATCTGGAAAACTGGGCATGTTGTTCAAGTGACCTTGTTTGGCTCAGCATACCTGAATCAGCTCTGGATACTGGCAAGCCAAGTGTCTACACCATAATCAGACCAAGCCAAGCATCCCTTGAATGTCTCTTTTATCTTTCTGCTAAAGGTGACCAAATAGAAAGAACTTGTGGTTTGTTTTGGGTTTTTCCCAATGCAATAATAAAAACCCAACATTTTTTGATKAGAGGAGTTGTGTTATGTCCCTGCTTGTGCTCCCTGCCCCAATGACAGGAGGCAGACTCCTTTCTCCAGGAGGGCAACATTTCTCCCAGACAACCTCGGTGGGTACTGTGGGTTGTCCCTCTTGCCACAGGGACARACATGGGCAGCCTTGTCTCCTAGGGCACCTGTGAGTCCATGCATGGCAGCCCACACAGCCCCACCTAATCCCGGGGGTGGCTGGTGGTGCAGGGGTTCCCCCACAGGGTGGGGACTTGAAGGGGAGATCCCAGTCTCCTCCTGGCCATTGTCATGCCTGAGGAATGCAGTTGAACTGGGGCTCTTGCACAGCGTCCAAACTCATCCACCCTGACACAGGACAATGCCTGCTCTAAAAATAACCAGCATCATTGCCCAGTGACCTTACCTTGTTCAAAAGACTTCAAAAGTCCTCTGCTTAGTGGATTATTTATGGAATCAATTAATGGATCCTCTGATTAATCCCCTTCTGGTTTGTGGTCACCTGCCTMTACTCCTTTGGAAGAAGAATCAGCTTAACACAGGGAAGATTAAAATACATTGGCCCTGAAACTGCCATATGCTTTCAGTTGTGGCTTTTGTCCCTTACTGGTGAGCATTTCTTGCCTCAGTATCTCCAGCCTGTCGMCATTGGTTGGGCTGCCAGTGCAAAACACACTGACCTTGTAGGAAAYAGATAAAAGCATTCTCCCTTGTGCCATGCCCCAGACAGGCTATGTTCCCCTGCAATCCAGCTGCCAAACTGACTCAYACCCAGACCTGACTGGAGCTCAGAATTCGTTCTGCAGACTCTGGCATCAATACCTGTTATCTGYTTAGCCTTTGAAATGTGCCTTCTGTCTTACACTGAGGGGAATTCTGGTTGTTTTTTTTTGAGGTAGCATCCAAAAATTCCAATGCAGAACTCTCTTTCTTTGCCCAGTATCGCACAACTGAGTATCGGAACCACACAGATTCAACCCAGATATGTAACTGGATCTGCCTGTTCTCCAGGCATTTGAGAAAACAGGCCCCAAACCCAAGCCATACACTGTAGTCTTTTGTGTTTCTGTTTCTGTCACAAGCACAAAACTTTTGAGTGTCAGTAAGGAGATGTTTCAACTTTACGAAAAATTTTAAGCCCAAATTCAGGAGCTGTGTTGAATCAACTTACTGTGTGCTCTTGGGTTTGGTTTGCCACACTTCTCTGTGTAAAAGGACAGTTCCTGTGCTGCCAACTGCCAGCAGTTCTTTCATTACTTCTTAAACTATTACACCAAAACAATCAAGAGAGAAACTCCAAACATAACCCATCCCAAGGAGTGAGTCTTCCCACATTAGGTCAAATTCTGTCAATTTTCCCTGATGACTGTTTTAAAGGAACGATGACTTTATTTGAATTTCCAGAAAGTGCTCTTGCTGAGTGCTGCCCCTGTGCTGTGTTCAAGTAGATTTTCCAGCCACAGCACAGCCCAGAGAGACATGTTGCAGAGGGTGATGTGGGCAGCCGGAAGGAACATTTTTGGGGAAGCTTCTTAGCGTCTGACTGGTTGAGCAAGTTCGTTGAGCCGTGGAGTACAAACTGCCTTCTTAGCAGCCTCCTTCACTTTGAATGCATCTGGGTTGAATGACAGGCCCAGACGAGGTCTGGAGGAGAGAGGGTAAGGATGGTCAATCCTGACTGGAGCAGGGACAGCTGTCAGCTGCCTGCCAGCTGCCACACCTCCACCTAAGCCTGCCCTTCCCTGTCGAGGGAGGACCAAGGAAGCCACACCTCTGCTGCTGTCATCAGGAGAGACATCTCTCTCAGCCACTAGAGCCAGGCATTCCCTCAGCCTCTGTGAAACATCCTCCCCAGCACTCCCGGCGGMCTGGATGGAGGCCAGCCGCATCATGCTGGGCAACAGGAATGTGCTACACTGTGCCCTTTGCCAGTTGATTGCTTTTTACAATTGCAATTAATAAGAAGTGCCAACCAGTAATTCCTCCCGGAATTAGAAAATTCTCTGTCTTCTCTTTTGACTCTCCTTCCACCTCAAAAGGGCTTTTAAAACTGCAATCCACGTAGCATTAACACATCCAGACATATAAAATTCAAGCATTTTGGAAGTGGAAGAGCAGTAGCCTAATCTCTCTGGCCAAAMACAGATCAACAAGGTGTCATGAGCCACACAAAATGGGATGGAAGCTGATCATTTCCCTGTGACAGGGAAACAGAACTTACCTTTTTGCAGGCTGGGCCAGCTCCAGAAGTCTTGGTGTAGCCACTGCACGCTTGGCAGCCTCGGTCACGGGCCACTCAGGATCACGTGGAGGTGCAAACTTGGCAGGGACTGGTTTTGGCTTAGCCAGCTCAATGGTTCGGGCACTTGCAACTGCCTTCTGAGCTGACTTGGAAACCTGTGGAAAAATGGGGAGGAAGGTCCTTACAGGTGCTCGTGGCATTCGAGGGTCGTCAGCCTGTAACTAACTCAGAGTACCCAGGTTCACAGCCACTGATCACACACAGATGGGACACAATGCTGTCCTCATCTGTTTGGCACCAGACAAACCGCAGGAGGAGAAATCACTGCCTGCCCAGTCCCACAGCCTGCCCTACAGCCTCCTCTTACTCACAGCCCTTTGTCCAACCCACCCCCAGCTCTGGAGATACCAGTTAGATGCTTGTCCACCTCTCCCCATCCCCACAAGTGCAAGCTAGGCATAGCTCTGCAATTCTCTGGGGATATCTGCTATGAGTCAGTTCATGCTCTGCATGGAGCACAAGTCCTGCTTTCCAGCTCAGGAAGCAGCTACGCCAGCCTCACGGAGCAGCACAGCCAGGACTGCCATGAAGAGAGCCACGAGTGACCGAGCACCYGTGTCCTCTCCTCTGCCAAGAGTCCTGTCCGTGTAGGGTCCTGGGTGATGCTGCCTTACCGGAGGGACAAGAGAAGCAGGATGGCTGTGCGTAGAGCAGCAGGGCAGCTCCCTGATCAAGGGCTCTGCRAGTTGCTGGACCCGCACCGTTGCATTGGCTGAGATCGCAAAGCTGGAAACTGGTACTGGCACCTGCATGGGTCCAGAATGGGGGAGGGATGTGCAGACATCCCTYTGATGTACTGTACTGAGCTTGTACAGTAACCCACAGGGACATGCTCCCCTCTTCACATGGATGAGCATCCCAGCATCCTTCCTCTGCAGACACGGTTACTCTTACTTTTCCAGAACCCATTATTTTTCTTTCACTGGAACTATKAGGTAATTTTGGTGCTGTGGGGATCCCCCACCTGTCACCCACTCATAGCCAGAAGGGGAGTGCCTGTAATGAGAGCCCGTGTAGCTAGGTAAAAGTGCAGAGAAATTTCTTTCATGTTTTTTATATTCACCCTCCTGGCTGAATTAAATAACTTCCCTGCTTCCCTGGAGAGACACTAAGATTTCAGGGTAAACTCAGTGGTACAGTTAACTGCATTTCCACAGAAAAAAATTATTAGTTCTCCAGCAGGGGACTTCTTCCCCTATTTTGTCACAGGGTTACTGTTGCCCAGTCCTGCTCCAGCCCAGCCTCCCATTTCCTAGCCCCAGAGGCTGCATCCAGAAGACCTAGCCTTTGCCATGGAAATGAGTGTAATCTGAGATTGCTCCAAGCCCTTTCATCCCTGCCAAAGCAATGACCCACCTAAGAGAAAAAGTTCAGAAAAATATCTCTAAACTAGGYTTCTGGTAAAACACAGTTAAAATACACAGTGTTTGCTATCTCATACCCCCTGTGTGCATGGATAGGAGCCCAGCTGTCCAACTACAAACATGACTATACTCCCTAAGAGCTAAACACRCCACTTCTATCAGATTTTTCCACTTTCCCAGGCTGTTTTGTCAGAGGATGCAGCCCAGATGCCTCCCTTGGCTCTCCTGATAAATGAGGCTGCTCCAACCTGGCTGTTTTTTGTCTCCCAGCAGATTTGCAAAGACAACATTCCTCTCYGCAAAGGCAGTTTCTCTCAGTGATATAAACCCCAGCAAAAGCAGACAGTTTCTCCCCTCCAGAGCACACACTGGGCACATCCAGGAGTARGATACAGGATGCAAAAACTCCTCAGGACAGTTTGCTGCATCCCTGTAGCCTCCAAATCTCACTCAACCTCCTCCTCACCTCTCTGGGTGGCACGAAATCTGGGTGCACTGGCTTTGGCCGAGCAAGCTCCACAATGCGCTCGGAGGCAGTGTAGTTCTGCGCAGCCTGGGACACAGACCAGTCAGGGGTCTCACGGGATCTGGAAACAGAGAGTCATGGCACTGCCACTCACAGATGTTCCCCACTTGTGCTGCAGCTGGGATGTCTAAGCCTCACATTTGCTGCAGTAGAAGGCAGCTTTGTCTCACAGCCATTTCCAGTGCAGAACTCATCCCATGAGAGTCCAGAAATTCTAAACCCAGCAGARATGCTGTTCCGCATTTTGCCTTTCATTTACTCATCGTCTGTTTCTGCATTTATTACTTTGAAGCTGCCCTGATGCTACCAGGCCCAAGGCCCTACCTACAGCACCYTCTAGGCTTTGTAGCCTCTCACCTGTACTGCAGGAAATCCGGGTGGTATTTTTTAGGTTCAGACAACCTCAGCAGGCGTTCAGAAGGGTAGCCAAACTTTGCTAACGGTGCGCGCCCACCAAACACTGGCTTGCACCTGTACAAAAGAAGGATTTTGAGGAATGGCAAGTTAGCAAAAGGCAACTGAAAGAGAACATGATCCTGGCAGATAGCATCCTAAGTTTGGTTAAACATCCATGCCTGCTGCGTATACAGTTTCATCTCCATTCTCACTGCTAGGGAATGAGACTAGCAACCACCATCCTGACTCCAAAAGAGCTTCATCTTCAACAGAGCTAAAGATGGCTTGCTTCGAGCAATGCAGCATCACCCAGCACCAATACCATTTGTACTTTTTACRTCACTTTTCACTCCAATGCTGAAACGATGCCAAAATGTGGTCCAGTTTTTCAACATGCAGTGACAGCAGAGGTTTTCTTCTTTCTCACCTTCTCTCTCAAGGCAAGAGACCTGCATTCCTTCCAGCAGCAGAACRCTGCAAGACTTCTCTGTTCCTAACCTTATCTTAAAGGTTTAGGTCAAACTCCAAGAGGATGCAGGAGATCATTAACTGTGTCCAGGTACCTGGCTGGGCTGCACCAGCCCCACTAGGGCAGGGAACACTCTAGGGACAGTTCCTCTGYACTCACAGGTGCAACGCACACATTCCATCAAGGAATGAATGCATGCACATGATGTCTACTTAAACCAAAGCAGAGATGTTGGATGGATATTTTTGTTACAGCAGACAAACACGCTCCCTTGTACTTGGAGACTGAGATCAAGACATGCTCCTTTRGCAGCTGATGGGAACCCAGAGCTCTAATCAAACCAGCAACTACGTGCTGCARAAATCTTTCCCACAGCTGGGAAGTGGCTATGAGGAAATAAAAGGCCATCAAAATTTAGCACTCCCAAGTTCCTCCCCATTTGGAAGTCAAGCACTCAGGGTGACTATGCTCCCAGAGCACTTTCTTCCCTACTACAGATGGCCCCTGCTCCATGTACAAAATGCCTGGTGAGTTTCAGTGCCATGGAGCTACCTGTGGGGCAGCCTTTTTGGGAGTGGAGATGGCATCTCCCTTTTCCCTGGGAGCAAGTATGCCCACCCAGAAAATATGCTCTGAGCTACCTCCTTCCCCAGGATGTGTAACCACGTCACTGACCTGCATGGATACTTGCTATAATCTTTCTTGGGCTTGGACAGTGACAATATTCTTTTAGATGGTCGAGCTGTCATAGCACCATCGGAGAGGGGCCATATCGTCTCTTGGTTTCCCCACACAAGCCTAGCAAGAACAGCAAGGTCGTGAAATTTTAGAAACATGCACAAGCATGAAATGTGTTTGCTGGGGCTACCCTTCCCTGCTTAGGATGGAACACACACACACACACACACACACACACACACACACACACACACACACACACACGCCCTATGGCTCCCCATAGCTGCAAAGTGCCACTACCACCCCCTGAGCATTCACTTTCTGTGGCACTGAATTTCCCAACATTCTCTTGCTGGCTGTTGTCAACTAAAAAAGAAAAATCTTCAAGTGATAGGTCTGGTTTYAGTTACCAGTGGATGTGCAGAAAGGGTCATTTCATTACATCTCTGAAACCCCTGGGGGAGTTTCATGATTGCATTTTTTTTGCCTCACCATTATCRCCTAACTACACCACAGGCACGGCAGTAAAAATAAATAATGTTACAGTGAGGGTGTGCCATGGAAAGTGGGTGAGGTTTTACAGCAGGTTAGTGGCTACTCTCCTGTGCCTTGGGCAAATTTGCAGTTGCTCATCCCTCACTGAGAGGCCATGGTGGGAGAGGGTACCAGGGTAATCAGGACAGGGAACAGCAAGGCAATGGGTTTGTGGAGCCTTTTTTGATACAGATAATGAAGATGTTATCTAGGGACTGTTGCCCTGGCTTGTCAAGCTGTAGCTTCATCACATGCAGACAGCAACTCTGTTCCTAAAGCTGGACTCTGTCCTCCAGGATACAGCAGCCTGTGGCTCCCTTGCTCCAGTCACCTTGCACCCACACACACTCCTATCCTGCAACACCTCAGCTGGGCAGCTCGCATCAGATGGGGCAACAAAGGCAAGGCTCGAGCCAAGCCCAGTTTTTTGATTGAAAACTGGRAAGAGCAAATTGGGGGGAGCCCTTCAAGCATGAAACATCTCAGTCTGCATTTCTGGAGACAGAGGGGAAAGCAGCAGCAAGACAAAGGGCAAGGCTCTCTGTCCGAGCCCYGTCAATCCCCAGCCCTAGAGCAAGGGGAGCACCTACTTACCCGGGACTGCTTTCACCATGTTGTCGCTTGGGTTCTGCAAGCAGATGGAGCCTGTCAAAATTGCAGAAGAGGACAAATGTGCCATTAAACACATAGTTAAACCAACAAAGCATAAGAAGCTAATGCTGTACTCAAAGCCTTATAAACACTCTCAAACTCCCCTGCTTTTGCCTCCATTCCCTTGAGAGAGTGTTTTTAAGGACCTCTCTCTTCAAGTACTTTCCATCAATTTAATCTGGCAAACTCACCAGCCCATGAATTTTGGTGTTTCTCTTGGACTGCTGAGACATGGCAATTCTGCCCTCACCACAAGGTCCCTGGGAAATGGCTAGGAGAGTGGGATGGAACTTTTCTGGTCAATAACATACCATGAAACCTCAGAGGGTGGGAGAGGAATGATCTCCCAGCCTATAGGAGCCCTGATGAACAAACACCTGTTATGACCACTGTTGTGGTTTATTAAAAGGCACCATGGAGGCAGCACTGTGTTCCCACATGGCTTTAGGAGCGTATTTTATTTCAGTCCATTTAGCACAGAGATCCTAGATGCTATAGAGACATAGGAATATACATGGTCTCTGCCCTAGGAGCAGCTTTGGAGAATTTTTTACTGAATATACAATGGACCAAAACCTTTCAGGAAGATCATATATCATYGCTGAGGCCTGAAATCCCAGTGACTGGGAAGCGCTTGAACTTTATGGGCCTTGGTACAGAGAGAAGAACAAGATGATCCAGTGCCACAAGCATGTTACACAACTCCTTGATGTCACAGACCAAGCCCAYAGCCACCCATGGAGGCTACAGGTGCCTGCCCACAGCCAGCTGGTAAARAAGCACCCTGTGCAGGCAGCTGTGGAAGTGCTCCACCACAGAAAAAGCACACAAGGTGGAAGCCTGGGGCACTGCTTCCCTCCTCCGTATCACCTGGCAGTGAGGCAGCACAGAGCTAGAGAAGAGCAGGGACACCAGCAGAGATACTTGCCAACAGAAAATGATCTGTGCTTTGCAGACACACCTGTGGTTTCTCTGATGGGGCTAACATTGCTGGTAAAATGCCAAGCCCTAGCAAATGCTTGCCAGAGAGCTCAGCACCACAGAGATCCCTGAAATGGCAGGCTGCTGTTACAGCATCCTGCCCCACTCCCTGTGAGGTGTCTGKCATGCCTAACTTGGGCCACAGCGCTGCAAACACAGCTCCTGCTGAGATCCCACAGAGGCAACTGCCTGTAGGACTTTGGCCCCCTGCCACCAGTTCAAGACAGGACACGGTTAGGAAAGCAGATGTCATTTCAGGAACCAAAAACTAGTTTCAGTTCTTTATTCCCAAACAGCTTCCCAGAGGGTTTTCCTTGCAAAGGTGCAAGGGGGTGAATGATTAGCACAGAGGTGCCCCCCCAGCTGAGCTGTGCTGCAGAATTGGCACTATCTCTGCAAGCAGGCTCACTGCTTTTCCTCCACTGCTGGCACAAACCCAGCACACAGCCAGAGCCAAATCTAGCACAACGTGCACATGGCCCTAGTGCCCCACACTGCCGTGCAAAGCTTGCATCATGATCCAGCCACGGAACGAGTCGCACGTACATTCAGATCAGGTCTCTCAACTCACTTGACAATCTCTTTTTCCAGTCACAAAGAAAAGGTTACTTTTATCATGGCAAAAGCTCTAGATAGGCATCCTCACACAGGATGTACCTACAGCARCTCTGCAACTTAAAGGAGTTAAACCACCTCACTGACAAGACACCCATGGTGGASGCTTTGTTGTTTGGTCCTGCTCATGCTTCCCAGCAAAGAAAATGAGACCTTGCTGCAGCCAGCCACAGAAAAACCTCCCCTCTGGTGTCTGAGCATTCGGAGACTCATTGCTTAAGGGGGATCAACCCCTTCTGAGACTAATTCCTTGTAAAGCAAACACTTGACAGCTTCCGTTTTGAAGGGGCCAGATGGTTTGATGTTCGTCAGAAGCTGAGGTAAGGRCAAAACCGGGCATCATTTCCTCTCAAGTGTTTATCACAGTGTCATCCAAAATATTGACTCACTGCTCGGTGTAAATCCCCAGCTGAGCCCTTTCAAGAGACATGGCCTGAACACCAGAAGGCTGGGGCTGGGAGGGCTTCTTACCTGCTGCGTGGGCGTACACATGTGTATGATGATGTATAAGAAGTAACTGCAAAGACAAGAACAGGTGAATTTAAAAACTTGATAACACCTTCAGCCTGGGCTGGCTACTCTTTAGTATGCAATAATCATATGGCAGACGAAGTTTGTGTATCTCCTTAGGATAACTGCTTGGCAGATGTTTGTATTGCTTTTCCCTGGTACCTTCCTCTCCTCACGGTGGTTACTCCTCAYGGGTGATGCTGGCAGCCCCCAAAGCTGCAGGATAGAGCACCCCAGCACCACATCCTCCTCCTGGCACAAGCACCAGTGGCCAGCAGTCAGAGGGCTCCCACCTGACTCGGTGTAGGCACCACCCCCTTATGGTTTTCAGCACTTTGGGGGAATAGCAGCTGTGTTAAACGGGGACTCGGTGCCAGTACAGAACAACTTGCCATATTTTAAGGCGGTGGGGTGGGGGATACGGGATGACAGGAAAACCAGCGACGTGGCGACACTTGCAGCCACGTGCCCGGACGGCAGCGACACGGCCCTGCAACGGGCCCGCCATCCCGCACTGTCCCCACCGTGCCCGGGGCCTGCCGGCGCCCACCGTGCCCGAGAGCCCTCCCTGCCCGAGCCCCCCGCGGCGGGGTGCGGGGTGCGGGGTGCGGGGTGCGGGGCTGGGCGGAGGGGCTGGCCCCGCCCGCGGCTCCCGGCCCCGCTCGGGCCCGGCCGTCCCGGCCCCACGCACCGTAGATGTCCCCGAACGCCGCCATGGCCCGGCCTCGCCCCGCCCCGCCCAACGGCTCCGCCCGCCCGCCGGGCCCGGCACTCTCACGGTGCTGCCGGCCGCAGCCCGAGCCCGGCCCACGGCGAAAGGCCTCTGCCCGCGGCTGACAACGCCCCGGCACCGTGCCTGTCCCACAGCGCCCTCGGGAGCCTCCCGCATCCCAACATCTTGTCCCAGCTGGGAGAGAAGAGAGCAGCCCGGACCAGTGGTTAGGGTGGAATTTTCTGCTTTATGCGTCTGTTACAAAGGACAAAACTATAAAAGCCATGTACAATAGATGTGGTTGCAAAACAGGTCTTTTACAGGACTGTTCCTGGGTCATGTCCTTCAAACGTGGGACACTGGGGCAGTGACACTTCTCAGAAGTTTGTCACCTTCKTCACCTGCTGTGCTAACAGAAACCACTGTCAAGAAACAGCAGGGTTTGCACAAGTAAGACTGCTTGCTCGAGGACATCTTGGACTAAGCTTAAATAAGCCGCTCAACTTGATGGAGGAGTCTCCCACCTTTGCTGCCAATTTAACTTAAATGCATCCAGTCACTACCTCAAATTACACCGTTTTTGCCTGTAGGCAAAGAAACACTTAAATCATTACTGCTTTCATTTTCTTGTTCTTACCCACTAACAAAGCAGTAACCAACCCAATTTCCAGAGACTACCAATTTGCCACTCCCTTAACAACTGTGTCCAACACAGCAACAAGAGTTGTCACTGTCAAAAACACTAGTTGCAGCACTTTAAACTGTCAGGGTGTGAGGTCTCATTTTTAACAGAACACGATTTTTAACAGGTTTCTGTAAAATCTGTGAAGTAAACATATTTCACTTTAACCTGAGACATCAAGCTGTGTTAAATTCACTGGATGCAACTTTCTTCCACGGAAGTCAGTGCTTGATTTCAACCTGACATGAAGCTATCTAGCCCATCTAAGCTATATTTCCCCTTAAATATGCTGCCTGAGATATTAATTATCTCCTACAAATATGCTAAAAATAGACTACTTCTCAAATGTATTTTCACACCACTATAAATTAGATTTTCTTTCCAACTAGGTATCACTTTCAGAGGAATWCCACACCCACCAGGGAAAACATATCTGTACATTTCAGCTGCCACACAGCCAAATGACCATATGCTAACACCTGCTCTCCCTCAGCTGCAAACACCATGTTGTAAGAAAAGAGCTGTCATTGTGTGTCCAAAACCAGCTGCCCTATCAGCTCCTTGGCATCCTTCATGCTGGAGGAGATCTCAGAGCCATCTTCTGCCACGTGGGTACCAATCAAGAACATCTTCCTCTCATCCCCAATATCAGACAGAGCCAGAGCATCGTGAATATCAGTGATGCAATATGCACCTTCGAGGTCCTGTTACACAAAAATAAAATTACCCTGTTAGTTGCAAGAAGTCACGGCACCATTCCCACTTTGACCCAATGCTTTTGTCCAGGGAGGGAAAGAGTCTCAAAGGCTCTGGGACACCATTTTTATGTATCTTCTATGAGATCAGTTTCCCATGTACTTTAAAGCTTTGGGGGAAAGAGTTAATTTCTAACCCAATTTCTTCCCAAAGAAATACAGGTACAGTTCTGTTTCCATTTCTACACTAATTCCAGTGTTTCTGATAACAATGTCAGACCACCTTTACAAGACACACAAAAGCCTTGCTGGTCCAAGACCCCAGGCACCCAGCAATGAGTTAAAAGAATAGGRCACATGTACAACAGCCATGCTCTGCCTACTTTCTTAGCCACCAGTGTTTCTGATGCATTTGAGTCTGATGAAGCCAAAGCCTACACTTSCCTTCAAGAGTAACACAAATGACTGCTAGTAACATGCCTTAGTTACTAGAAATTTTGAAGGTAATGATAYAGAGCACACTGAGCATGGAGGCTTGATAACTCTGTGATTACAACCCCTGGACTCTTGTGTCATCTGACTATACCAGAGGCCCAGTTATATTTCWGATACAGCACCGATCACTGAGACTTTCACAAAGATATTAGAAGGAAGCACTGCCTTGTGAGGAAAGCTGCTCCCCTTCTCTCAGGTTTCAGCAGCAGCCTTAGGAGCAACTAACCTGACAGTCTGAAGGCAAACAACAGTGCTTCCCTTTGTAGCTGCTGCTGGTTAAAGTGGTACTTCTAGGCAGATACTCAGAACAGAAACCCAACTTCTGATCTAACAGCGGTCTTCCTTGAAACTCTCAAACCTTGCAAGTGCACAACAGTTTCCACCCACAGCTCTGATTGCATCTTCACCAAGCACAGGACCTGCATCTTGCAGATCCAAAACAACCTCAGATTATTTTGTTTTGTGGTGAACAGGTGTGTCAGAAAGACTCCCAGCCATGTGCCCTCCTTAAAGGCATGAAGCCTCCTTTGAAAGGCTTTGTTGCTGTTTCCAAAGCTGCTGCCAGCCCAAGCTGTGCTAGCAGCAGGGAACTCTTACCTGCTTGTTGGCCAGAACCACCACAGGCAGGGTGGAGTTGTTCTGGATTAGTTGATGAAGCAGCTGTTTCGCCAYAGGCAGTCGGGCATGATCAGCCGAGTCCACAACATAGACCAGCAACAGCACTTTGGGCAAGTACATCTTCCAGTATGAGCGCAGAGATTCACTGCCCCCGACTGGAAGAGAAGACAGCAGCACAGGATTCACCAAGTAATTCAAGCAGCACTGCTCCCAGAGGCACAGACAGCAGGCCCTTGGCTGAAAACCCAAGGTATTTGGGGTTACCAAAAACTCAAAAGTAYTTGAGCTACTGCACATGAGACTGAAAACAGCTTTATTTTCCCCAGTCAARTCCCATAAAGGCATATGGATTCTCTGGGGATGGGGAAAAAGAAGAATCTTTCCATTTTAAGCTCTTGAGAGGATTCTGGGTTCAGTTTCTTTACAGTTTCTTTTTGCCTTGTTGGTTCTTGCTGTTAAGCAAGTAAGGAGAGCAGAAAAGGGTTCAGTGTCCATAAAYACAAAATGTCCTTACATAACCTATCTTCACATGCCCATCTCATTTTAAGACAAAGCAGGATTTGAGAAATTTAGCTCTGAGGTGTGAAGGGCTCTCATCATATTTGTATGACACTAAGAACTAGCTCAAAACACCCACAACTTTGTTAATAACCAGAGGTGCTTAAGGAAGAGATAAAAATCAGACTCTTCAGGCAATGCTTAGAAGTTATTTTTTCACACCATAATTTCTACATAAGCTTTTCTCTGCTGGATACAGAGGAAAGCTTTCTACCTTCAAAACTAAGTCTTAAAACAATTCTCTGGCGAAACAAATTGTTTTAGACTGTTGTTCCCATCTGGGGAAAAGAATTTAGTAGTTTGCTGAGTTTTAACAGCAGAAGGAATAATTATCAGTATATCAAGTATTTCAGGTGTGTTTTCAGGTCTCTAGGTCTTCTCCAGGTATATTGCAGGACCACTCACTCAAAGAGTTCTGAGGTGTTCAAAAGACAGGCATGAGTCTCTCAAATGTAGCAAGTTTTCAAAGCTGTATATCGGGGGTTCCTGCATAACTGTCTCCTGCCTTACACAGGAGCTCTTTTCAGAAACGACTTGCTGGTCAGTCATCTTTCACTGCCCTCCATGACTGTTCTGTTTCAAAATAATTTTGCTTTCACTTAAGTCAGAAGGGCTCAGTGGCTTCAAAAATATTGAAAGGGAAGCAACATTTCCCACTAGAGCATGCCTGTGTCTTCAAGTGCCCCAGCTTACCTGGAGGCAGAACTGCAAGTCTGCCACTGTGGAAAGGAGCCAAAGGACTGTGACTGACACGTAATGCTTGGGACACAAGCCCCCGATTCCGTACTGTGATACTGCAGGGGCTCAGCACTGCTGCCTTTGTTAAGTGTATTCATGCATAGCATAACCCAGGGGTCAGCAACCTCACAAGAAACATTTATTTTTTCTCAAACCTATAGGAACTCAGTGGAAGCAGGAGCTCCTATGCCTTGCAAGATACCACTAGGCCAGATACCACCCAGTTATCTGTATGCTGGTACAAAGAAAAGAACAGTTTCCCACCTGTCTAAGTCCGCAAAATAAAACCCCTGCTGTTTGCTGATCACCTCGTGCCATGTGATCACGGCATAGGCTGCTAACCCCTGGACTAGGCAATGTACCGACTGGATAAGTAACCAGATTAGAGAGCCATGCACGGATTTACCTGGCTGAAACTGGCCTGAGACATTGCATTTCCCATGGGTCAGATCGCAGCCATCACATCTCAGCCACTATCAACCTGGACCAGAGAGGGAAGGACGACTCAGAAACAACAGGTTCTGCTGTGGTGTGCACAGTGCTGGGCCCAGGCCGACCCCAGGCAGGAGCAGAGACACTGTGAGCTTCTCTGGGCTCTGATAAGCAAAGCACATCCCAGTAGGAGACACCCTCTTATCTACCAGGTGAGGGGCATAGACTACAAGCATCTCTCTAAAGATGATTWCCCCAAGCCACTGCAGAGACTCCTAGGGCCATAAGACTGGGAATGGAACTCTGCCTTAGTGGCCTCATCCTCATGCCCCAGAAACTTACCTGTAACAGAACAGCTATGGGTTAGCTGTGCAGAAACAGCAGGAAGCAATGGGCAGCTCCTGCCTCCACAGATGAGGCCGGAACATCAGCCTCTCTGTACCAGAGATGGACCTGACCCGGGGGCCTTCACCTTTGCCATCAGCACCTCAAGCAGCTGTGWTGCCCCAAAGGCATCACAGGCAATGCCCTCTGCAGGCACAGACAATATTCCAAAACCAGAGCTAAGGACAGCAAAGAAATTTTGACAAAATGCTACAGACATTCAAAAGCTGTTAAAGACTAGAAAACACCACTAATGAGGCTTTTGAACAGAAAGGGTACAAAGCTTTCCTCTTTCCCCTCTGCTCTTTCACTTATTATTTATTCCTCTGTAGCTCTTGCCCTTTGCCAGGCATACAGCACCAAGGAGAAGCAGTACAGCAGCTATGAACCACAAGGCCTTATTGGGGAAACCTCT